TAACCGACTTAGGGGTACCGACGTTAAAACTTTTTGGGGTAACCCCTACCCGGGTAGTTTCCGTAAGGACCCGTACTCGGTAGTTTATCGGATAGGATAGCAGAGGACATTGAGGGAATGAAGCCACTGCGACTGAGTCAGTTGAGCTAGCGTTCCTAGTAGAGTTCGGGATGCTGCATTAATTGGTACGAGTCTTGGGAGTTGTCCAGACGGTGAGGATGCCCTTCCAGTAGTATGGCGGGAGTTTATAGAGGCTTTTCTTCGTCATTATTTGCCACCAGAGCTTAGATAGGCCAGAGTTGATAGGTTCTTGACCCTTCGATAGGGTATATGAGTGTTCGGGAGTGCAGCCTTCAGTTTGATTCTTTGGCTAGGTATGCTCCCACTATTGTAGCTAAGATGGAGGATCGGGTTCACCAGTTCGTGATGGGTAGGAGCCGCACCTGCTTAGTGATTGTATGTCAGTCTCACTTCAGCCAGGCATTAATATTTCTCGTATTCAGGTGTCACGAATCGAAAACCACAAGTCGTGATGGTACCTAACTCAACCCGCTAGGTAAGCCAACTAACATGAAAGACATAATACGACTGAGATATTAAGAAAATAGAGAATAGCTAACTGAACCTTTACAAGTTTACCAAGACCTGGTAGTACGAATCACGAGCTTCTAAGATTTGGAATTTCAAAACTGATACAAATAAATACACGTTCTGTTTGAAGGTTACATAAACAGATTAGTAATAATCTAAACTACCAAGGNCCTTCGTGCTTTACACTCTTCCTCATATGATAATGAATATAAAATGGCACGGCATCACCCTTCTTGCTTTACACTCTTCCTCACATGATAATGAATATAAAATGGCACGGCATCACCCTTTGTGATTTACACTCTTCCTTACCAAGAATATGAATATCAATAAAATGGCAAGGCAGGAAGTATAAATAACATTGAGGAGGGTGCTTAAACGGATATTCCAAACACATTCCAATCACTGATTTCCAAGCAAACAATAATTCAATGAACCCTCAAGGTCCACATAATTCAAGTACTTTCACAAATCCCACAATTTATCAACAACACAAGTATGGAATCTAGCATCTCCAAATATCGGCCGTAGCAATGTATTAATGATTATGCATAGAGATGACCGAATTAGACACATCAATGTATTCTTACAATTTCCATCAAGTTAGATCAAGTTATAACAAACTAAGTCTTGATATCTATCATTGAATATTATGTCCTTAGTATCTAAGAGTCAAGTAAGGCATTAAGCAGAATGTCACGAAATTCTACAAACACAATTATACATAATCCACCCCCCGAGCATGATTTACCCTGGCACATACATATACGCTCGTCACCTCATATATGTATCACCCCCGCATGTAGCAAACAATGACAAATAGGAGGAAACAACAAATCTAGGCAAAACACTTACCTCAATTCGGCTAATCCAACACTCAATTTAGCCTTTTTCCTGTACGAATTCGCGTCCGCTCGACTCAATTTAGCCAATGACGACTTGAATACACCACACAATTCAAGAGAAAACAATTTCAATTAATAAAGCTATGCTTTTTATTCAATTCCTAAAAAGTCAACAAAAGTCAAATCCCGGGTCCAAAGGTAGGTCTTGACTACCCATAGCCCCACGAGTCCAAATATGTGTTTTATTTTCAAATCCGAGTCTTATTCGACTCTTAAAACTAAAATTTTTATTTTTTAAAACTTTGACAAAATCCCCAAATTTTTCCATAGTTTTCCCATGAATTTGATGTTAAATCTTGTATAAAATCATGAAATATAGTTGAAAATTGGTTAAAGATACTTACCCAATGATTTGGCATGAAAATTCCCTCTCAAAATCGCCGCACCTCGAAGCTAGGGTTCAAAAATATGAAAAATGAAGAAAAAACTCGAAATTCTTAGCACTTAACAGGTTGCAGATGTTGCATTTGCGACAGGGGGTTCACAAATGCGAACCCCGCAATTGCGAAAAACCCATCGCAATTGCGAACCTGATGGATTTCTGCTGAGGTCGCATTTGCGACAAAAACTTCGCAAATGCAAAGACCAGCCTTCGCAAATACGGCTGATTCATCGCAAATGCGAAAAGCTGCCCAGTTGCCCAGGCTTCGCAAATGCGAGGTTTCTTCGCAAATGCGATGGCCGCATTTGCGATCAAAACATCGCAAATGCGAAGATACCAGAACCAGAAATTAAAAACTATGAAAGAACATTTCGAAATCAATCTGAAACTCACCCGAGCCCTCGGGGATCCAAACCAAATATGCACACAAGTCTAGAAACACAACACGAACTCGCTCGCGCGCTCAAATAATCAAAATAACTTCTAAAACCACGAATCGGACACCAAAACGCATGAAAATCAAATTAAACTTCAAGAACTTCTAGAATCACAAACGAGCATCCGAACCCTATCAAATCAAATCCGAATGGCGCCAACTTTTGCAGACAAGTTCCATATGATAAGATGAACCTACTCAAAGCTTCAAATCACGCATGACAACCTCGATGCTGAATAATACCTCAAACCGAAATCAATGAACTTTGAAACTCCAACTTCCACAATCGATGCTGAAACCTATCAAATCACCTCCGATTGACCTCAAATTTCGCACACGAGTCACATTTGACATTATGGACCTATTCCAACTTTCAAAATCGGAATCCGACCCCGATATCAAAAATTCCACTCCCGGTCAAACTTCCCAAAAATCTAACTTTCGCCAATTCAAGATTATTTCCACTACGGACCTCCAAATTACAATCCGGAAGCGCTCTTAAGTCGAAAATCACCCAACAAAGCTAACGGAACTGACGAAACTCCATTCCAAGGTCAATTGCCAAAAAGTTAAACTTTGTAAACTCTTCCAACTTAGAACTTAAATCTTGAAGTTCATTCTCCCAAATAAATTCCGGATAACTTGAAAACTAATACTGATGATTTACGCAAGTCATAATACATCATGCAGAGATACTCGAGCCCTCAAAATACCAAGCAAAGTGCAGAAACGACCAGTTGGGTTGTTACATCAGGCATACACTCAGGGTGTAGAGGAGCGTAAGCAGAAGCAGAGGGCGGATCGTGAGCATGATAGGGGACAGAGTAAGATAGCGAGATCTTCAGCTCCTTCAGGTGAGTTTTAAGGTGGTCAGAGACAGCAGTACCCGAGGTATCCAGCCCAGCCATCGGCTAATGCACCCCCTCAGTTTGCCGGTAGGAGATTTGATTGTTCCACATATTTAAGGCCCAGTCAGAGTTCCAGGGCCTCTAGTTCTCAGTATAGGGGTGAGTCAAGTCGGATGAGGTCACCCTTGCCTCGATGTGCTTAGTGTGGTAAGCAGCATGTCGGGCAGTGCCTTGTGATGTTGGGTGTTTGTTGTACTTGTGGTTATCTAGGCCACGTTATGATAGATTGTCCAATGAGAGGTGGTGCAGGTATAGTTCAGCTAGCGAGATTTGTAGCTGGTTCACAGGCACCAGTCGGTCGTGGTAGAGGAAGAAGTGGAGCATCTAGCTCGAGCAGTCCTCAGAACCGCGTTAATGCATTAACAAGTCGACATGATCAGGAGTCGTCACCTGATGTTGTTACAGGTATATTATCAGTCTCCTCATATGATGTATATGCATTGATTGATCCACGTTCACCTTATAGTATGTCACTCCATTGGTTGCTAGCAAGTTTGGGATAGAACTTGAGTTGAATAAACCTTTTGAGATGTCTACGCCTGTTGGGGATCCAGTGATAGCTCGACGGGTATATAGAGATTGTATAGTAATAGTTCATAGTCGTTCTACAGTAGCAGACCTGATTGAGTTAGATATGGTAGAATTCGATGTTATAATGGGTATGGATTGGTTGGCTTCTTGTTATGCTAACGTTGATTGTAGATCAAAGATGGTTCCATTCCAGTTTCCAGGGGATCCGGTTCTGGAGTGGAAAGGTAATACTACATTGTCGAGAGATAGGTTTATTTCCTATCTCAAGGCTAGGAAGATGACCAGAAAGGGCTAAATTTATCACTTAGTTCGGGTACAGGATGTGAAAGCAGAGTCTCCAACCCTTCAGTCTATCCCGGTGGTTAATGAGTTTCCCGATGCTTTTCCCGGTGAGCTTCAAGGCCTTCCGCCAGAGCGGGAGATTGAGTTTGCTATTGACATATGCGGTTTTTGAGTGCGGACACACAAATTCTACTTCAAACATGCAACTCTCTAATAACAGGGAAATGCTCGATCTGCGGCCGCACACACTTTTCTGCGGTCGCGGTCTAATTTCTGCAGATTGCACAATTTGGGGTGCGGTCCGCACAATCAATTCACATCATAATCCCTACACTAGCAATTTGCGGACCGCACAATTTCTTGTACGGCCGCACAATTCAAAACAAAACGGGTAGTAACTTAGGGTTCTATCTTTAGCACACAAATTTGTCATGGTAGTGGCATGTAATCATGATTAACAGTTTACCCATCCCCCAATTAACGAGTATGAAGTTACCCAATACAAATTATATCCTTAATGATGATGAATTTGACACTAGGCCTAAAGAGAACTAAACTAATTATGAACAAAATTAAGAAAATTAAAAATTTTCAAAGATGAATTGAACATACCAGTAATGTAGTGATGCTAAGGAGAAATCAAAGATGATGAAATGAGTGCTATATGTGTGAATCACTTGAGTGCACAGTGTTTGCCTTTGTGAAAATTGTTTAGAGTTTGTAAATTCTAAACTGTAGTGAGAAGGCCACTATTTATACTTAACACAATTTGGCTAGGGTTCAAGAGATGAGTACGCCCGCACAATTTCATACGCGGTCCGCACTCCTTTACCTGATACAATTTTACCCTTTGATGATTGTGCGGTCCGTACATTTTGTGCGGCCGCACTTTGGCCATTTCTCTGACAGGAAAACTTCAGAGAGTATGCAATTTTGGCTTTCCAGTTGTGCGGTCCGCACAAGAATTATGCGGCTGCAGATTCCTTTTTTGCTATGGCACTCAAAATTGTGTTGTCCGCACATTTTCCATACTTAGCCAATTTTTTTTTGAGCACATTCCCTGCAAAGCACACTCATTCCATCAACACACTTCAAAAACCAGTTAGCACAAAACAAGACATATCTAAAGAAGAAAAAGAAAACAAAAAACATGGGTTGCCTCCCAAGAAGCGCCTGATTTAACGTCGCGGCACGACGCAGCTTGCCATCATCACTTGAAATGAAAAACCGCCACGACGTGGCCATCGTCAACTTTTCCCAGATAATGCTTCACCTGGTGACCATTGACTCTAAACACTTCATCATTTTTATTTTTCAAGACCAATGCACCAAAGGGTGTCACACTTACAACCTCAAACGGGCCACTCCATTTAGACTTCAACTTTTCCAGAAACATCCGTAACCGAGAATTGAACAACAACACAAGATCACCTTCTTTAAACTCCTTGTTCCGAATGTACTTGTCATGGAGTTAGTTCATCTTCTCCTTGTATAAGGATGAACTTGTATATGCATGGTACCGGAACTCATCTAGCTCATTCAATTGTGCCACCCTTAAGTTGGTGGCGATATCCCACTTGCTTGAGGATGATAGCTAGAGGGTCGTCACTTTATGAGTGACATCATACTTGGTGAGTAAGGTATCAAAGGCTTTCTTGCAAAAATGCGAACCTCCATCACTTATGATAGCCCTTGGAGTACCAAATCTTGTAAAGATGTTCTTCTTCAATGGCACCACACTTCTCGCTTCATTGTTGGGCAAAACAACGGCCTCAACCCATTTAGACACATAATCAACTGCGATCAAGATGTAGGTGTTCCCACAAGAACTCACGAACGGGCCCATGCAATACCCCACACATCGAAAATGTCAATCTCCAAGATGGTGGTGAGGGGCATTTCATTTTTCTTTGAGATTCCACCGGCCCTTTGACATTCATCACAACACTTGACTATCTCACTAGCATCCTTGTAGAGAGTGGGCCAATAGAAACTGCAACTTAACACTTTGGTCACCGTTCTTGCTCCACCATGGTGACCACCATAAGGCGAAGAATGACAAGCCCCAAGAATTTCAACTTGTTCCTCCTTCGGTACACTTCTTCTAATCACTCCATCCGTACAAATCCGAAAAAGGTACGCTTCATCCCAATAGTAGTCTTGACAATCCCGTTTAAGCTTCTTCCTTTGGTTTGAAGAGAACTCAACCGGGATGATACCACTCACAAGATAATTTGCCAAATCCGCGAACCAAGGCATATCTTTCAATGAAATAGCCAAGAGTTTCTCATCAGGGAAGGAGTCATTGATTTCAAGGCCATCATGCAGCCTCCCCTCCTCCTCTAAACAAGACAAGTGGTCTGCCACTTGGTTTTCACTCCCTTTTCGATCTTGGATATCAATGTCAAACTCTTGCAACAACAACACCCATCTCATCAAACGGGCTTTTGAATCTTTCTTGTTTATGAGATAGCAAAGTGACCAATGATCCGTATGAACAATCACTTTTGCACCCATCAAGTACGGGCGAAACATCTCCATAGCAAACACAATGGCAAGAAGCTCTTTCTCTGTAACGGAGTAGTTAACTTGGGCACTGTTCATGGTCTTGCTTGCATAATAGACCGTATGAAAGATTTTGTTGATGCGTTGCCCCAAAATAGCTCCTACCGCTACATCACTTGCATTGCACATAAGCTCAAAAAGAACACTCCAATTTGGAGCGGTGATAATAGGAGTAGTAGTCAACTTGAGCTTTAGCAACTCAAAGGCTCTCATGCAATCATCATTGAAATGGAACTTGGCATATTTCTCCAAAAGCTTGCACAATGGGTTTACCACTTTAGATAAATCATTGATGAACCGACGGTACCAAATCCGCGTGGCCTAAGAAACTCCGCATGCCTTTGACTGAAGTTGGAGGTGGAAGCTTAGAAATCACCTCAATCTTTGCCTCGTAGACTTCAATTCCATTCTTTGAGATCTTGTGGCCAAGGACAACGCCTTCCTCAACCATGAAGTGACACTCTCCCAATTGAGCACCAAAATTGTTTCTTCACATCTTACCAACACTTTGTCCATGTTTGCTAAACAATCATCAAAAGAATCCCAGACCACCGAAAAATCATCCATGAAGACTTCAAGAATATCCTTCACCATGTCCGTAAAGATCGCCATCATACATCTTTGAAAAGTCACCGGTGCATTGCACAACCCATATGACATCTGCGAGAATGAGAAAGTACCATAAGGACATGTGAAAGTAGTTTTCTCTTGATCCTCCGGAGCAATAAGAATTTGATTATAGCCGGAATACCCATCAAGGAAATAATAGAAAGCACGGCCGGCCAACCTATCAAGCATTTGATCTAAGAAGGGAAGTGGGAAATGATCCTTCCTTGTGACTTTGTTGAGCTTGCGATAGTCCATACACACTCTCCACCCAGTCACCATTCTCGTAGGAATCAACTCATTCTTATCATTGGTGACCACCGTTATGCCCCCTTTCTTTGGGACACAATGAACCGGAGAAGTCCACGAACTATCGGAAATAGGGTACACAACCCCGACATCTAACCACTTGATGATCTCCTTCTTGACAACCTCTTGCATAGCTTCATTAAGTCTCCTTTGATGTTCAATAGATGGTTTGGCACCTTTCTCCAAATTGATCTTGTGCATGTAAAATGCGGGGCTTATCCCCCGAATATCCGCCAATGTCCATCCAATAGCCCTCTTCCTCCTTTGTAGCACCGCCAATGTGGACTCTACATGCATGTTAGTCAAACAAGAGAAAAGAATAATTGGTAAAGTAGAAGAAGGGCCAAGAAATTCATACCGAAGATGTGGAGGCAATGGCTTCAACTCCAAGATGGGAGGCTCCTCAACTGAAAGCTTTGTTGGAGTGGTTCCATTCTCAAGATCCAAGGACAATTTGCGGGGCTCATAAGTGTACGACCGAATTCCTTGCAAAGCGTTCACACATTCCACATAGCCCTCCATTTCCTCATCATCACAATTGAGCAAGACGGCCTCCAAAGTATCATCAACATTCATCACGACACTTGTTTCCTCAATAATCACATTGGTAACCAAGTCCACGAAAGAGCATACTTCATTGCTATTGGGTTGCCTCATAGACTTACACACATGGAAAACCACTTTCTCATCACCAACCCGGAAAGTAAGTTCTCCGGCTTCAACATCAACTAGAGCCTTCCCCGTAGCAAGGAAAAGTATCTCAAGATTGATAGGCACCTCATAGTCAACCTCACAATCAAGAATAACAAAATACGCCGGGAGAACGAATTTATCAACACGAACCAACACATCATCAACGATACCCAATGGTCTCATCATGGTACGATCCACCATTTGTTATCTCATAGGTGTGGGTCTTGGTTTCCCAATTCCCAAAGTCTTGAAAACCGAATAGGGCATCAAGTTGATACTTGCCCGAAGATCACAAAGGGCTTTAGCAAAGTTGGCACTTCCAATGGTACAAGGGATTGTGAAAGCGCCGGGATATTCCAATTTATTAGCCATTGAGTGCACAATTGCACTCACTTGATGAGTCATCTTTATAGTTTCACTATTCATCGACCTTTTCTTTGTCACCAAGTCCTTCAAGAACTTTGCATAACTGGGCATTTGCTCCAAAGCCTCAACCAATGGCACGTTGATAGATAGACTCTTCATCATGTCAATGAACTTTTTGAATTGGTTCTCACCATTTTGCTTGGCAAGCCTTTGAGGATATGGAGGAGGAGGCCTTGGCATTAGTGCCTTAGCCTTTGGCATTACCGGTTCCGGTATGTCAACAATGTGCTCCCTAGACGGGTTCACTTCCTCTTGAGTCTCCTCCACATTGTTATCAATATCAATTCTCACCTCATCATTTTTTTTCACTTCATAGTTCGGCATTTCATCTTCTTGTACCACTTTCTCATCATCCACAATTTTTGTTTGACTTGAAGTGGTTGCATCCCCACCTTTTCCACTCCTTGTAGTAACGGCCCTGGCATGTACCGTGTTGTTCTCACCCTTTGGGTTCACCACCGTGTCACTTGGTAGTGCCTCCTTAGGACGAGTGCTTAAAGATTGCGAGATTTGCCCCATTTAAACTTCCAAATTGCGAATTAAAGTGTTATGAGAGGCTAGTTAGGCATCAGAGTCGGCATTCTTCTCCATCATTTGTTTGAACATGTTCTCAATTCGTCCTATCTCATTGTTGGAAGAACTTGGGCCTTGGGAAGGATAAGGAGGTGCGTTGTTCCGTTATTGATACATCGGGGGCCTTTGAAAGCCCGACCCCCGATTCCCTTTGTTATTGTTCCACCCTCCTAGATTATTGCCTCCCCAATATCCTTGACTATTGCCGCTCCAATTGCCTTAGTTATTTTGACCATTCCAATTTCTTTTATTGTTTTGATTGTTCCAGTTCCCTTGGTTGTTACCACCATTCCAATTACATCGATTTCGTTGAGGTCGCCTTTGTTATTGATTTTGGCCTTGGGATTTGTTTCTTTGCCCTTGGAAGTTGTTCACATATTTTACTTCCTCCTCTTGCTCATTGTAAGATTCATCTTGATCAAACCCACTATCATCTTGCAAAAACATTTCCACATGATTTTGCACTTGAGGACCCATTGGCCTTCTCTTGTTTACCATCATACTAACTCCCTCCATTGCATTGACTTGCTTAGGACCTTGCACTTGTTGAAGTTGAGCCTTGGCTATTTGATTCATTGTGGTGGTCAACTCGGCAATTGCTTGCCGATGATCATGCAATTCTTTATGCAAGTGAATCACATTTGGATCACCTTGAGGAACATTTGCTCTACTTTGCCATGCCAATGAAGTATCCGCCATTTCATCTAGAATTTCACAAGCTTCCGCATACGGCGTTTTCATGAAATTTCCACCGGCAAGTTGGTTGACCACACATTGATTGGTAGTATTGATCCCCCTATAGAAAGTTTATTGAATCATAGCCTCCGTCATGTCATTGTTTGGGCACTCTGTCACCATAGTTTGGTACCTCTCCTATATCTCATGCAAAGGCTCATTGGGTTCTTGTTTGAAAGCTAAAATCTCATCTCTAAGAGTAGCCATATGCCCGGGAGAAAAGAACTTGGAAATAAATTTCTCCGCCAATTCATCCCATGTATGGTTAGAATGGTTTGGTAGTCTTTCTAACCAATCCAAGGCCTTCCCCTGTAGAGAGAAAGGAAATAGCCTCAACCGTAAAGCATCCTCGGAGACGTTTGTCTGTTTACTCCCCCAACAAGTGTCCACAAACCCTTTCAAGTGTTTGTACGCATTTTGATTCGGAGCCCCAATGAAGAATCCCCGTTTCTCTAACAATGTGAGCATAACATTTGTGATTTGAAGGTTGCCCGACCTAATTCGGGGCGGGACTATGGCACTTGCGTATACTTCATTCGGCAACACCCGATGTGGAGCCGCTCTTGGTGGAGGTGGGGGTGGAACGGGAACGTTGTCTTGAGGCAGTCGGCCTCGTCTATTTGCTTGGGGTTCAGGAGGAACCTCTTCAACTTGATCATCTTCCACGTCCACATCCCCCATAGGCATGTTTCCCAGAGGATCATTGTTGTTGAGAGCCATTGTTTCACCTACAATTGTTTTACAAAAAATATTAGCAACTCGGAAGGAAAAGAAGACAATTCAAACACAAAACCAAATATATAACTAAATCCATTTTTAGCTCCCCGGCAACGACGCAAAAAATTGATGTCATCCAAGTCACACCGCTATTCGAGGTTATAAAATGGCTGATGTAATAGTAATACCCAACTAAGAGTCGGGGTCGAATTCCACAGGGAGCTATATGAATGGGATAAAGTAGTATATATTTGGATTAGGCACGTGAAGAATCTAGATTGCACTTCCACAAATATGGTTTTTCTTTACTTCTAAAATTACGCTAATAATTACTACAATTCTAAAGAGATAAAACTAGAGAATATTGTTTTTTGTTGTTTTTCAAATATATAAAGAGCCTAGGGCTATGACCTTCACCTAGGTGTTTGCCTAACGGGTTGTAAACTTTAAAGCTTGTTTCGTTGGTCGGAGTGTATTGTAGCTATCAACACTCAAGTACCCACTCAATACCTCTCGGTAAGAGAGTGATTTTGCCCAATTTGGCTTTCTCAAGTCCAAATGAGTATTGAACCAAATAGTTGATAAAATGCTCAAGTCGGGTTTTACTATCTCAAGATTCAACCCTTTAATTGGGACTATCAATCTCTTGATTTTATCCCAAATTCTTGTTAGCCAAGTTTTCCTAGACTAAGTCTCTCTTTCTCTAGACCAAGTCAAATAGGCATGAACTAATATTTTCAACCATTAATTCTACAATTAAAAGCAAGAACAAGGCTAAATAACAAACACCCAATCATAAACAAGCCATAAATCGAATACCCATTAGGTTTACACACTGGGGTCACAAACCTAGTTAAAAATCTAGCTTCTCATGCTTGGAGTAAAAGAAATAGAAGAAGAAATGATAATAAAACTCATATTGAAAGATTAAAAGACAAAAATCCAATTTTAAATCACCAAAGTAAGCTAAAGTTTCGTAAAGCAGTAAGGAAAAACGGCTACAGGAGTTCCAATATTCAAAACTTGACCTAGTTTCGTGAAACTAGCCTATTTATACAAAGCTGGAAATTTCGGACAAAAATGCCCTTTCGGAGGTTTTGCGGTCGCATAATTCCATGTGTGGTCCGCACTTTTCTTCAATCTTGACAGGAGCTGGATCTGCGGCCGCACAATTCTGGAATGCGGCCGCATCTTGAATGTTCTGCAATCCTCACAAATCTTAGTGCGACCGCGTTGGGTCCTTCTGCGGACCGCACAATTCTGAGTGCGGCCGTGTGGCTGATTTCTGCAGCCGCATAATAATTGTGCAGTCCGCACTTCTTTTAGGCTTGAAATGTTAACTCTCTGAACTTCTGCTCTTGGGTAGCTTCTGCGGCTACACAATAATTGTGCGGTCCTCACATTTCACTTGGGCTCTGACAGTCTTTCTTCACATTCTGCGGTCCGCACTTTAGCCTTTGTGCCTGATTTTTGTCCTTGAGTTCAAATCACTCCTTTTTTAGTTGGATTTCATCTTTGTAGCTCATTTTCCAATACTCCTGCAATGAAGCATATTTCATCAGTTTTCGGGAATACAATTAAATACTTTTGGACTAAAACGAAAGTAAAAAAGGTGCTAATAAGTAGTCAAAATCCCCACTTATCAACATATTACCAGATACTCACCCAATATCTATTCCTCCTTATAGAATGGCACCTGCAAAGATCAGAGAGTTGAAAGAAAAACTGAGGGATTTGCTTGAAAAAGGCTTTATCAGACCCAGTACATCACCGTGGGGAGCCCCTGTGTTATTTGTGAGAAAGAAAGATGGTTCCTTATGGATATATATTGATTACAGGCAGTTGAATAAGGCGACAATCAAGAATAAGTACCCGCTTCCGAGGATTGATGATTTCTTTGATCAGTTACAGGTTGCTAGGTGTTTCTCGAAGATAGACTAGAGGTCGGGGTACCATCAGGTAAGGGTTAGAGAGAAAGATATTCCGAAGACAACATTCAGGACCAGATACAGGCACTTTGAGTTTTGTGTTATGTCGTTCGGTTTGACCAATGCCCCAATAGTATTCGTGGACTTGATGAACCGTGTGTTCAGAAACTTTCTAGATCTGTTCGTGATTGTATTTATAGATGATATTTTGGTTTATTCTCGTTCAGAGGCTGAGCATGCAGATCATTTGTGTATTGTGCTCAGAGTTCTACAAGAAAGGAAGTTGTACGCAAAATTCTCTAAATGTGAATTCTGGTTTAATTCTGCAGCTTTCTCGGGATATATTATTTCAGGTGAGGGTATTTGGGTTGATACACAGAAGATTGAGGCAGTGAAGACTTGGCCTAGACCCACGACACCGACGGAGGTTCATAGCTTCCCGGGTTTGACAGGTTATTACAGGAGATTTGTGGAGGGCTTTTCTACTCTTTCAGCACCATTGACAAAGTTGACTCAGAAGGCAACTAAGTTTCTGTGGACAGATGCTTGTGAGTGGAATATCCAGGCATTGAAGGACAGATTGACTTCAACGCCGGTTCTGACACTCCCAGAGGGGACCGATGGTTATGCTATCTATTGTGATGCTTCGGGCGTTGGATTGGGTTGTGTACTGCTGCAACATGGTAAGGTTGTTGCTTATATTTTTAGACAACTAAGAAAGCACGAAAAGAATTACCCGACCCACGATTTAGAGTTAGCTGCGGTGATTCATACACTAAAGATGTGGAGGCACTATTTGTATGCGATCCATGTTGATATCTATACGGATCATAAGAGCCTTCAGCATGTCTTCAAGCAAAAGGAATTGAATTTACGTCAGAGGTGATGGTTGGAGCTACTGAAAGACTATTATGTTGATATTTTATACCATCTAGGGAAGGCGAATGTAGTAGCCGACGCCCTCAGCCGGAGATCTATGGGTAGCCTATCATATTTACAACTAGAGAATAGTGAGATAGCCTATGAGATTCATTAGCTAGCTAATCTTGGAGTTCGATTACTAGGTTCAGGTGATACCGGAGTTACTATTTAGGATATGGCAACATCCTCTTTAGTAACTGAAGTGAAGGAGCGCCAGTATGTGGATCTTGTTCTAGCTCATTACAGAGATACATCCCCTCAAAAGGAGAAGACACCAATTGAAATTACAAGAGATGGAGTTCTCAGATATCGAGGTCGATTATGTGTTCCTAATGTGGCAGGGCTGCGCCAGCAGGTTATGTGAGAAACTCACTATTCTCGTTATTCTATTCATCTAGGAGAGACGAAGATGTATCATGAAATTGGGGAAATATACTGGTGGGACAAAATTAAGAAGGATATAGCAGAGTTTGTTGTTCAGTGCCCTAATTGTCAGCAGGTTAAGATTGAGCATCAGAAACCCGATGGATTATTAGAGGCTATAGAGATTCCAACTTGGAAATAGGAAGTAATTAGTATGGATTTCATCATAGTCTTACCTCGTACCCAACGTAAGTTCGATTCTATATTGTCACGACCCAAAAT